GAAGTGGTGCCTCGATGCGCACCCGGGATCCGAACCCGGGCCACCAGCATCGCAGCGCGCGCACTTAACCACCAAGCCACAGGGCCGGCCCTGGGGATGGATTTCTAACCAAGAACTTGGCTCTCCCCGGAGCCTCTCTGGCCTTCCTCCCACAGCTCCTTCCATATCCGCCTCATTGATGCACTCAGTTACACCCCTTATAAGCCTCTTGAAGAGGGCAGTCTGCTGGCTTTTTATTGCCTCCAATACTTAGCCTGGCCTTGTATAAAAGTGCTGAAAAGTATTTGCTTAGCTGGGTGGCTATGCTCTAGAGCTATCCAGAAAGCAAAGATGGGGAGGCTGTCCAGAGGATACTCAGCCCCCAAGGCTGGTTTGCTGGATGACAAAGGCTTGTCATAGGGCAGCTCAGGTGAGAAGGGGCGGACAACAGCAGAAGATGAGGGCAAGGGACAGAAAATCATGACTCTCAGGAGCCACAGGTGCTAACCTTGGACTAGACCTTTTCTGCCTCGACCTGAACAAAAATAGCTGCTGCTGTTGTCACCACCTTTCCCCCATTTTAATGAAATCACCTTAAAAATAGGTCTTTTTGATACATAAATTCTGATATTTCATCATCATCATTATCAAAATGTCCACATTAGCCCCTTAAGTGTACACAGTCCTATGCTAAGTCCACGTGGTGAGAATGGCAGGGTCAAAATGGACATCCACTGACAGACATCAATCAGATCTGTAGATATAACTGTCAGGCCTTGTCTGGTCTGACACTGTGTGCGAGTTCTAGAAGCAGTGGGAACCGAGGTTTAAAGAGATGCCTGCAGGAGGCTGCAGAGACAATTTAGACCTGCTCTGTCCACTGTGTGGCCACTAGCCACAAATTTAAAATTTTTACTGCCTTTGACCCCCCATGACAAAAGGATTTCAAAGGCTCAGGCAACGAATGGCCCTCATGTCACAGGACTAATCGGATGCCACTGTTTTGGGTCACGGGTCACAGGTCACAGCCAGCCCTTAGAGTTGGTGTTTCTTTCTGTTGCTCGGGAGAAAGGCACTTTTTTTTTTTTTTTTTGGTGAGGAGATCAGCCCTGTGCTAACATCTGCCAATCCTCCTCTTTTTTTGCTGAGGAAGACGGCCCTGGGCTAACATCTGTGCCCATCTTCCTCCACTTTATATGGGACGCCGCCACAGCATGGCTTGCCAAGCAGTGCGTCGGTGCGCGCCCGGGATCCGAACCAGCGAACCCCGGGCCGCCGCAGCGGAGCGTGCGCACTTAACCGCTTGCGCCACCGGGCCGGCCCCAGAAAGGCACTTTTGTAAGTGAGCATCCATCTCTTGGGAAGTTGACCAAGGTCTCTTTCAATCCAGGGCGTCTGTGACATCCTGGGAATGCAGGGGCTGGACGGGCTGGGGAGGGGAGGGACCTCATGAGCTTCCTCTGTCAGGGCCCTGCCATCTCCTACCCTGGGGAAGGGGAGAACCCAGAATGGGGAGGTCTGTGGCCAGAGGCCAACAGAAGCATTTTCTCTGGACTCAGTATTAGTTCAGCCTGGGGAGGGGCTTTCTGATAAAGAGGAAATGAATCCAGAAAACGAGAGTAGACTGTGCAATGTTGGATAAAGGCTCTGACCTTTGCTGGTGGCTTGAAGAGGAGCCAACAAATTGGGGGGTTGGGGGGTCCAAAGAGCTGATACCTGTTCCTCAGGATGCATTTCTCCACTCTACCCTAGCACCCCCCCGTGCTGGGCCCTGGGTGCACGAGACACACGTTTCCTGAGTGCCTGTCACCCTTCGGCGGGGAGCCACCCAAAGCCGAGACTGCTGCCTCCTTCCTTGGCTGTCCCCATCATGACCTTCACTAGACCTTGAACATGGAGGGAAGGCAGCCTGTCCTTGGTCAGCTGACTTGTGTCCAGAGCCTTCACCTGGGATGGGGTTTGGGGACTGGGGAGGCAGGGGAGATGTAAACAGACCCCCAAATGTTAGATGACGTTGGTATGAGTTTGCATACCGGAGTACGGCAAAGGTGGGGTGGTACCCCGCAGCTCCCCTCACTCTGGCTGGGGGCATCTCTGGGCTTGCTAAGAGGTTGCCATCAGGGGAAGCTGAGTGCAGGCAAAGAGGCCGCCATCCTCACTCCCCTGCACCCTGCGGCTGAGTCTGTAGGTGCAGGGAATGCTGCCCTATAACCCCTGGCAGGCGAGGAACCCGTAAACCACTTGCATCTCACCCAGCACCAGCCACTGAGAACTCTGGTCCTGGAGGAGCCCCAGGCTGTGCACTGGGAGGCCAGGTCCAGCCTCCAGTGCTGGGATCTTGGCACATCACTGTCCTCCTCTGGGCCTCGTGCCTGCCTATATAAGGATGCTGTTCAACATGCCCTCCTATGTGGCCCCTGCAGGTTGTCATGTTCTCTGATTTCAGTTAACAGCTTATTAAGACCTTTAGTGGCCCTTCCCCCCTCAGACCCCAAGATGCAGGCTTGGATGAAGGAAGCTGGTGCAGCCCCGTCACCCCTCCCTCTGCCCCCTCAGGCCCTCACCTGTAGTACTCCACGTGGCCAGCCTGGTCAGACAGCTCGGTCAGCTCGGCCGTGACCCCCCTCCATACAGGCAGCTCTGAGAGCTGGGCCACGATGGTACCTGCCATCTGCTGTATGAATCTCAGCGTCTGGATGTAATCGCCACGGGCGGCAAAGATCTCACCAAGCCGGGCCAGGTGCTGCTCTAGGTTCACCTCCATCTGCTGGGTGGTTCCAGACACCTGGGGAGGGGCTGGGGTTGTGAGTCTGGCCCTCAGCTGGGAGGAAGCCAGAGAGGTCAATTCCCTGACCCTGACTCTGGAGAAGGTCTGTAAGCAGCAGCAGACGGCTGCTCGGGCTTGAACGAGTGCACCACGCTCGCCGCCCCAGCCCTGAAGAGCTCATGGCGCTGCTGCCCAGATGGAGGATGGGAGACAGAGGCCCCCACTCCCTACCCAGCCCTCATGTCCCTCCATCCAGGGGCAGGCCCCAATCTGGCCTTAACCAGGGCCTGGGCTCCAAGACCCAGCACCTTCCTACCAAGAGAGACCCGACGGGGAAACAAGAGAATCCATTTTTCTTCCTTGCAGATTCTCCTAAAACTTGAAACACTTTGGATTATGAATTCTTTTTCAGAGTGAGGAATAAAATGTTGAAACCAAAGCATTCCTCTGTTGCTACCTGACCTTTTGTTCCCACACTAGGGTTGCTAAACGCCTCCCAAGAGAAAAGCTTTGCTGTCCTGAACCCGAGCGAAGGCAGAACAATGGAACTTTGAAAATAACAGGCAGACCCGATCCAGCCTCTGAAGAGCCTGGACATGTGACGGGAGGAGGCAATTGGCGCCTTCTTGGTGTGCTCGTGCCCTCCCTGGACGTCTGTCCCGCCAGGTGATTGGACAGGTCCCGTCTCTTGGCTGGGCCTTAAGGGCCTGGAGTTGAGTGGACCCTGAAGGCAGCAGTGGTCTATTCGAAGGTAGAGAAGGAAGGAGATGGCACAAGTAGAGCTCCTATCGGAAAGGTGCTTCCCAGCAGCCCAGACACAGGGTCCCCGCAGGGCCCAGGGATCGCCAGCGTGCCCCTCCGAGGACGGCTCTGAGCCTGTGTGTTGGCAGCAAGGGGAAGAGGGCTTTGTTGCCCTGAAACTGTCACGCTAAACCAGCACGCACAGCTGGCTGGAGGGGGGAGTGTGTGCTAATCCTCCCCCGGTGGCCGGCAGCTCCCACAGGGCTGGAAGGAAGATAAAAATGACACCGAGGACTGGAGGGAGCTTCCCACAGCCAGACTTCGCGGCCTTGGGGGACCTGACAGCAACTCTGTGGCCTTTCACATCTGCACTGCACTGTGAGTTCCTGGTTCCAGAAAAGAGAATGGCCCTCTTTGTTCTGTTTCCTTTTATTTTTTCAATGTCAGTGGTTTGTTCCATTCTCCGGCTTGCTCCTGGTCCTTATGAGCTGGTTAGGGACTACGAGACACCACAGTGCAGGGATGGTATACACCTTACAGAGCCAGCAGCTTGTAGCTTCACAAGGCGGGAAACATGTACAAGTAAATTCAGTAACTAAACATCACCCTAATACACTTTCCTTTTCAATTCAATAAGATGGATGGACAAGTGCTTTGTCGCCATTGATCCAAAAGGCACTATTATTAAATGCTAACATTAGAAGCAAACCCTGTCCTGTGTGATATTTCCACATTCCTATATTATATCTAACTCCAGAGCAAAGTGCTGTTGAAAATGATCTGTGAACTTTTCTCTGTAAGACCACTTTTTTCTCCTTCCATAGCTCTAAATCGTTAACTTCTCTATTTCTTAAATCCCTCCTTGAAAAAAACAAAAGCCAGTAAGTCTCTGGCAGTCCCTCTCTTCCCTCCTGATGTCTTCCCACAGGAAACAAAACAAAATATAAAACGTAAAAATCACAACGTTGACCTACTTACAGCCCCCCCGCTTCCCACTCCACCCCCAGTCCTTAGAGGTTCCGGACACAGGCTCCCCTCAGGAGACAGAGACAGCTTGCTCTGTGAACAAGAGCTCAGCTCCCCAGGCTGGGGTGGGGGGCGGGGCGCGCTGGCAGGTGGTGGAAGCTTGGTTCTCCAGGTGTGGTTCCTGGACGGGCAGCATCAGCACGATCAGCTGGGAACTCATTACAAATGCAAATTCTCAGCCAGGCCCAGACCTACAGGATCAGAAACTCCGGGGTGGAGCCCAGCACTCCGTGCTTATCAAGTCCTCTAGGGGATTCTGATGCAAGCTCAAGTTTGAAAACCTCTGGGTGGGAGGAGGCTCCTTAACTTAATGAGGAGGGTGTTCTAGAGGGCAGACATACCAGGAGACGAAGGGGTGGAGCCCCTGCAGGTCGTGGGAGAGGGCCCCCATCTCAGCTCCTTGAAGGGAAGGGCTAAGACCAGAACACCTGGGTTCCAGCTCTTGCTCTGAAACGTACTAACTTTCAACCCTGGGACAGGAACGCAACCTCCCTGTGCCCCAGTTTCTTCACCCAAGGGCTGCCCACAGGCCTGTTGCCTGCTCAGATGAGAGAGCCCAGAGGAGCCACCCTGGCCACTGGAACGCAGCGCTCAAACCCGCGTCGGCTGAGCCCTCAGGGGCTGTGGAGCCCAAGGCCCTTATTTTAAGCTCAGACTCCGAGCAGTTAGAGGTGTGCCTGGTCCCCTGCGTGAGTCGCTGGGGCCCAGAAGGGGAGCACTGGTTCAGAGAAAGGACTTACCCGGCACTCCCAAATAACCCTTTCTGACCCCCCACATCGCAGCGTGCAGCTGATCCAGAACCCTGCCAGGCCTGCCTGAGCCTTGAGCCTTGGCCCACGCCCACCGAAGCACAAGCCTCCCGCAGGGTGGGGTGCAGGCGTGGGGCTGCTGGTCCAGGAAAAGGGAACCCAGGAGGTCCACCTCACTCTGGCCCAGGTCTGACCCCGTCCTCCGAGTCCCACCCTCCCCCTCATCCAAGCCTCCTCTCTCCTCCACGGTGATTACAGTAATATATATAATTATAGTAATTATAATAATAGCACTCATTATCATAGTCACCCCCATCTGGAGGGTACTTTGTAGATTACCAGGCACTTTTACCACCATTATCTCATCTAACATCATTTATCTGATATTAGGCCTTCACCTTCAGATCTGGGGAGCCCTCTGAGATCTGCTGTCTCCCCTGGAGCCCTTGGGACTGGAAGTGTTGGCTGCCCACCCTGAGGCTCAAACCAGCCCAGTAGAGCCCTGTCCCTCCACCCAGAGAAGCCGTCGTGCCCGGGCCCCAGAGGAGGCAGCAGGTGCTCATCGTCAGGAGGGAAGCAGCTCCCGGCTGGCTGGACCACCACGAAAGCCTGGAGCTCCTGTCCTCACTTTTCAGGAATGGTGGAGAGAGGATGAGGGGCTGATGTCCCTTCCCTTGGGGAACTCGGGGGAATTTTGAGAGGTGGGGCTTGCTGCGAAATGTGCAAACCTGGCCCTGGAGCACTCAGCCCTCGGGGTGGATGAGCACAGCCCTGGCCCTGGAGCACTCAGCCCTCGGGGTGGATGAGCACAGCCCTGACGGCTTGTTCCCCGCTCATCTCCCTGCACAAGCCTCGCCCCGTTGGACAAGGACTTGAAGAATTCAAATTTTCCATCAGGACAGCTCTGGGACTTTCTTCTTCAGCTTCTGGGAGAGACGGGCGATTCCTTATACCGGTCACAAGTCAGCCAGTGAAGGTCACGGCTGTGGGGCTTCCCCGGGCAGGGGATTCTTTCAGGGCTGAGTTCCTCCTCCAGGGGCTCTGGTGCTGGGGATAGGGGATGGGGGTGGGGGGTGGGGTGTAGGAGTGGGGAGGGGCAGGGGGCGGAGCCTAGAGGGCAGTACTGTGGACCCCCTTCCCCACCAGGCAGAGGTGAGGGTGGAGGTTGTACCCAGGCCTCCAATGGCTGGTCAGCCTGTGGTAGGCCCCATGAGGCTGCCCTCTGCTTCCCCATCCCAGCTGCCCCACCGGCGCTCCATAGAAATGCCTCAGCCCAGTGTCCAGACAGCTCTCAGTCCCCAGGGACGGGTGCCAGTGGACATAAGGGCTGGACGGATGAGCTCTGCAGGAGAGCTGGGCCCCTGGTCTGGCACCTGACCCTCAGCTCCCCAGAAGGGCTGAGGCCAGAGCCACCTCCCCAGCCACCCTGGGCACTGATGAGCAGCACAGCTGTCTCTTTAAGGTGAGCCCCTCCTGAGGGGCCAGCTGAGGGATTAACGCCTTAGAAGAGCTTAAGGGAGAAGGAGAGGGAATGAGGTCAAATCCTCTTCCAGCGAGGGCCAGGGCAATGTCCACATGCTCCGGTTGGGGCTGGACTGTGGTTGAGGCTGCCTGACACAAAGGGGCCACCGGCTGGGCCACTCCTCTGCTGGGGACCTGGCCTAGAGAGGATCGGGAACAGTGTCCAGGGACTGGTTTCCCTGAAGCTGCCCCGGAGGCTGGCTCCTCGGGACACCAGGGCTGCCTGGAAAATCAGCCCAAATGACCGGCTGCTTACAGGGAAGGTGACACGCACTTGGGGGCCGAGGTCGGAGTCTGAGAAAACCCCGACTCCCGCCCTCTCAGTCTCTCACTCGGGCCAGAGGCTCAGCACAGTAGCTCTTTCCTTCCCTGCAAGTCTCACACCTCCGTCGTCCAACCCAGCACATCCTTCACTCTGAGCCCCTAGCGGAGTCATGGTGCCCGGACGCCAGACCCCGCAGGACACCTCGCCGGGTTTCGGGCAGAATCTCACCACTCCACAGGGCACTTCACTCGTTTTTGAAGAGTTTTCCTCCTTGACATCTCTCGGACCCCACAATACTCTGTCTGCAGCACTTAAAGCGAACATAAAAAGACCGTGGGGCTGGTTTTCCACAGTCAGGGTCTCCTTGGACAGACGGGAAAGTGTTCAGCTCTCCTTGAGATGAATGAGATTTGATCCCACAGCCGCCCCCAGGACCCATCAGCCCTTCTCCTTTGGTCCTCGCCCGATCCTGGCCACCTCTCCTGGCCCGGGAGCAGAAATTGCCTGTTTGCTCCTGGCAGGACCAACTGCAGCCCAAAGGCGGGTCCAGCCCCTCCTGGAGCCGAGCTGGCTGGGATCTGACTGGGGCCCTTGTTCTGACCACATTGACCTCACGGGTTGTGCCCCGCCCGGTCAGCTGCCCATGAGTCTTACCAGGGTATCAATCCCAGAGAAGGTGTGGTTCGCGTTGTCCAAGGAGTAGATCAGCTGGTACATCCCATCGTTGGTCTCGCTGTTTCCATAGAAGCCAACACCCACCGCAGCACTATGGGCAAGACCCCAAATAAGATTAGAGGTGACACCCAGAGGAGAATGTTTTTCTTTCTTTTATACACTATTTTTTAGACAGTTTTATTCTTTTTTTTTTTTTTTTTGTGAGGAAGACTAGCCCTGAGCTAACATCTGATGACAATCCTCTTCTTTTTGCTGAGGAAGACTGGCCCTGGGCTAACATCTGTGTCCATTTTCCTCTACTTTATATGTGGGATGCCTGCCACAGCATGGCTTGATAAGTAGTGCATAGTTCTGCACTTGGGATCTGAACCTGCGAACCCCGGGCTGCCAAGCAAAGCGCACGAACTTATCCACTACGCCACTGGGCCGGCCCCAAGAACAGGTTTTGGACTTTAGCTGAGCAACTCTTTCCTGGGAGTAGGGGAGAGGGGATGAAGCTAAAGCTCTGGCAGGTGCAAGGGGTGAGGGGTGAAGGCTCAGGGCCAGCCTGTCCCTGGCCTGGCCAACTAACTCTACAGCACATTTCATTTAGGCAGCGGGAAAATACTCCCATCCTCTATCCCATGGCTCTGAAGGGTGGAAAGTTGCTGGCCTGGCCCTAGGGACTCTACAGCGGTAGGTCTGGGTGGGGCCCAGGAAACCCCTCCCCAGGTGACTGACACAGGTGAACTTGGCAAACACTGACGTCTCATGAAACCACACTCTCTGGAAACCCTCAGGAGTTGGGGACATCCCCTCCATTCTCTACCCTTCCCCCTACCTCCCCATGGTACCCATGAGGCAGCCTCTCCTACTGAAAACTTCCAGTTTGTGGAAAGTGCCTTCTTATATATTGAGCTGATGCTACCTCCATGAACCACTCACCCACTGGTTCTTGGCTGTCCTCCGGGGCAGCCCAGAATGAGCCTTCAATTCTGCAAGACACCCCCTCAGACATCTGAATGTGGCTCCGTGTCACCCTTTCTCTCCTGCTCCCCGATTCAGGAGAGACCCTCATCTCCATCATTGCCACCCTCTAGGTTCTACTCTCTAACTGGTCAACGTTGCTCTTAAATGTGGCCTCAGAGTGAAGCACCCAAGCCCAGGCTGTCCATCAGCTCCAAGTGCAGGGGGACCAACGCCGTGGGTGCCCCCTCCCAACCACTGACCTTGTAGTCTACCAGCACCCCTGGATTTCTTCACAGTAACTGCCACTAAGCCCAGTCTCTCCTCTCTCCTACATGTCGCATTGAGTTTTGTTTTAACCAAAAGCAGAACTTTAAATCTATCCCTGTGAAATTTCATCTAGTTGGTTTTAGTCCAACATTCCACTCTGAACAAATCATCTCCAATCTTGCCTCTGTCATCTATCATATTTTATCTGATCCATACCACTGGGGGTCATCTGAAGATTGTTTAAGCAGCCTCCTGAGTTTTCATCCAAAACACTAATTTTAGGGGGGAAAGATGAATGCACATGTGCATACACTTACACTTTTTCTTTTTTCTTTAAATAGGACAAGACCTAGGACGGAATCCCCTGGGAGACTTATTCTTGACCCCTAAGTCAGCGTTTCTTAGGAAGTGGTCCATGGACCCCAGGACGGAATCACCTGGAGTGCCTGTTAAAAGTGTAGGTTAAGGGCACCCACTCTGGGCCCACTGAATCAGTGTGGTCTGGGAACATGCATTTTAAAACAAGGTTCCCACATGCTTCATGTGTCTAATACATGCACACACACACACACATGCTACAGTTAGGTGATCTACTGTGGAAATCAGTATTCTATGGATTCAACCAGTGTTGTTCAACGAGCTTCAATTCCACTCAACTGCACCATCGTCCTGTCCGTCTCTCTCCACAGCATCCACACGGAGACTGTGAGGACCTGATTAAATGCCCAGCTGAACTATTCATACATTAAACATATTGTATTTCCATGATCTTCCATTTAGTAACTTTATTTTAAAAAAGATTTTATTATGCTCTGAAAAATACCTTTTGTCTGCTCCTTGTGTTTATAACTTTCTCTTCCAGTTATCTGTGTTGTGATCTAGGGCTTTCTGGGGATTCAGCATCAACCAACGCCTTTCCATCCTTTTAGGTCTTCCTTCCCCTGTTTTCGAGAATGGGGCATTCTAGTTCTGTGCCTTCTAGCCTGTGGACCTATTGGAGATGCCCAGGAGGGGCTGTGCAATCGCGCCTGGTCTTCCAAGACCTGAAAGCGCCCTGCTGTTTCAAGAGGGTCCCTCAGCTCCCTCCTGTTGTCATTGGTCCTGCCCAGGCCATCCCCACCGTTCTGCTCGAGGGAAAGACCCAATACATGAGTTGGTGGTTCTGCCCTCTGTCTGGTGGGACAACACCACTATCTCCCCCAAATATAAAATCACTGTCCCCAGATAGAGGAGCACAGGATCTCTTCTCGCGTCCCTTCGCCTTTTCGGGAACCCCTTGTTCATAGTTTCTTCTATGGATTGTCTCCCTCTTCTTGGATCCTTGTTATCAGAGCTCAACTCTCCCTCCTCACCCCCAACCTCACCTCCCATCCCTCTACCTCTGCTTCTTCTACTCCTGCCCTGCCTCTCTCTCTCAGCTCACTCCAACCTGGCTCCAATCCTAGCACCACTCCAGCAGAGGTGACCGCTGACCTCCACGTCACCACCCCGATGGCACTGTCCAACCCCGTGCCACTCACAGTGGACAGTGCAGCTCCCCCTCCTCCGAGATGGCTGCCCCATGGCCCTGTGCCATTGTGGCTTCCCTGGCTCCCCCCTGTTCCCCGAGGCTTGGTCCTAGGCCCCCTTCCCTTCTCTCTCTGGATCCCACCTTTAGCAGATCCCACCCATGTCCATGCCCTCCATGCTGTCCACACTCATGAGCCCCAATTTCTAAGTCTAGCCTTGTCTTTCCATTGGTGCCCTTAACATCGCCACTTGGATGCTTCAAAGGCACCTTAAGCCCAACCTGCATCAAAGCTGTGACCTTCTCCCTCCCTCTGATTCTCTGCCAGCACATCGCACCTTAGTGGACGGCACCACATCACCCGTCCGGGTGCTTAAGCCAGAACCTCCTCCCTCACCTCCCCGTCCAGCTCACCACCGAATCCATGCCCTTGTCCCCTGTCTTGGTGCGAGTCCCATGGCTCTCCACCTGGGCCACCCCGAGAGCCTGTGCTTCACTCACGCCCCTTCCAGCCCACCCTCTGCCCTGCAGTCCGTGTGACAGTCTCATCACTGGACCCGTCCTGGGCCTGTTTGCCCTTTGATCTGTTCCTCCCCCTCGCTCTGCTCTCCATCACAGAGGGCTGACCCCTCATGGGGAAATCCTCAGGCTCCCCTTCAGTGGGCATCTGGTGGGTTCGGCCAGAGGGGGCACCGGCAGGCACTGGAGGCGGGAGGGGAGAAGCCGGGAGGTGGTGTGGCCCTCCCTCTGCAGCAGCTGCTGAGTTTGCCGTGTGGCTCCAGGCCCACCGTGGTTCACGCTTCTGCGGTGACACCGCCTCTCCCTTCTGTCCCTCTGGCCTGCAGGTGGTGCGGCTCCTGCAGCTGCTCATCTCAGAGGCTCTCCCCGCATCCGGCCTCCCAACTCTTCCATCACCTGGGCCACCACTTCGTCACATTCAGGTTTCTCTGTTCTAAACACTCCAGGGCTCTGGTTTCTGCTTAGACCTGACTTAGCAGGTCACCCTGTCTCCTTGCCAACCCCCCGCTTACAGTGGCTCCCAGTACTTTAAAATAAACCCTAACACAGCCTGTAAGCTCCTGTGTGGTTTGGATCCCGTCTGTCCCTCTTGTCTTCTCACACTATCATCCTACGCCCTCTGCCCTCCACTGCACCTACTGCCGATCCCCACCAACCCACAGCACCCCACCCCAGCCCCTGCATCCTCCCTTTCTGCTCCTGGCACACTGGCTTCTCTCAGTTCCTTAACCGCTCCATGCCCCTCCTGCCCCGGGGCCTTTGCACACACTCCTCTTCCCTCTGCCTGGAAGTACCTCCTCCTACCTTGCCCCCACCTGTGCCTGGTTAACGCCTCATCCTATGATCTTGGTGCCCTTGTCACCCTGTGACGCTGACTTGGTAGGCCACCCAACTCTATGCCTATTCCCTTCCTCCAAACTTCCTCCTCAGTTTGTAATTATTCCAATCAAATAAGTATACAATTTTCTGCCTCCCCAATCGACCAAGAGCTACCAGAAGGCAGAACTGGTGCCCCTTCTTCTTACCGCTGGCTTGCTCTTGCCTGGCACGTGGAACCTGTAGAATTTTGTAGAATGAGTCATGCCACATGCACCAGATGCATCCTCTGTCTTGAGTTTTCTTTATTTTTTAATTTTTTTTTTTTACAATTACATTTTACTTATTTATTTTTTTGAGGAAGCTTAGCCCTGAGCTAATATCTGTTGCCAATCATCCTCTTTTTGCTGAGGAAGACTGGCCCTGGGGTAATATCTGTGCCCATCTTCCTCCACTTTATATGGGATGCTGCCACAGCATGGCTTGACAAGCGGTGCTTTGGTGCGCGCCCGGGATCTGAACCCCAGGCTGCTGCAGCGGAGCGTGCCCACTTAACCACTATGCCACCAGGCCGGCCCCTGAGTTTTCTTTAAATGGCAGGTAATTATAACTTATTGGAATTGATCCTCCAAAGTCATTGTTACTGTTCCAACGTATTCTTCTGTCATTTGTGGTGTTTTAAAAAAATCTGAGCTCACACGAAAGAGCTTCTTGTGTGGTAAGCACTGCTGGGGTCGTTGGTTGTCTCTGTCCCACCTCACCCGGCCCACCAGGCCCCACCTCTCCCTGCCCAGGCAGCAGCTTGCTCCCAGCAGGGGGCTTTCTCACACCACAGTTACTGCCTTACTCCTCTCTGCTGGGAGTCACACTCCTCTTTGAACCCCCAACCTGGGCTAGGGCTCTTTCCTTTAAGTTCATGATTTAAGCCCTGGTCGCAGTCTCACCCAGCCCTGGGCCCTTCTCTGTGCTCAGGGCTTCGTCAACCCTGCCATGCTGCTTGGGTTCTTGCCTATCTTTTGGCGTTTATGACCTTCCACTGCAGGCAGGACGGGACTGGGAACACGCTCTAATGGAGAAGAAACTGCAGTGGCAAGGGGAGCTGCCAGGATGGGAACCCCAGCGTCCCCACTCCCAGGCTCCCTGTGTCCTGTCTGCCTCCGTCCTGCTGCCGAGACAGTGGGGTGAGTCCTGCTGAGGGTTCAGGGACATAATGGGCACTTAGCAATGAGGGATCCTACCCCTTGAGGGACCACCTCCAGGAGCATCTCAGGGTGGACCTGAGCCTTTTAGAAAAACCTCTGTAGATACGAAAACAAGAAAAATATGACAACTCCTGAAAACGGGGCCAGTGCGTGTACGGACACCACCTGGGCAGTGCGGGCTCTTCCACAGAGTTAGAAATCCTCACTTCAACATCCAAAGCAAAGAAGACCCGGCCAATGGCACTAAGAGTATTGCTCTTGTGAGAAGATGAACTGATCTGGAAGTCAGTTCCTCTGATCTCACTGACCCAGGGCGGCAGCGGGGAGGGGACAAGGATGCAGAGAGCAGAGATGCCCTGTTTGGGAATGCCGTCCGGTCAACTGCTCAGGGAGCTCCCTGTGGGGCTGCCAGGCACGCCCCACCTGCACCAGGGCAGGGGTTAGGGGCACACTAAGGAGACGCCCGTCACCACCCCAGGCATGTGATTCCCACTGCCTGGCAAGAAAAGGGACAGCCTTCACCCTGGGGACAGGCTCTCCCATCGAGGTACCTGGAGCTCAGCCAGGAGACTGTGGCCAGACAGCTGATGAGCCTCTTGGGGTTTGTTGGGGGGCTGGTGGCAGAGGGAGAGGTAGGGGTCTCCCGGTCACGGGGCTAACCACTGGCAAGACACAGACGGTCAGGCTCACCTGTCATCCACTGTGTCTGCCGAGTGGGCCCTGGGCCTGCGTCGTCCCCTGCAGACTGAGAACCCCTGAGCTGCACACGCTGGCCCAGGACAGAGGGACACTCACCAGCAGACGAGCCCGGCCACCACGGCTGTCCAGGTGACACAGCAGGAGTTGCGCTGCTTGGTCTGCACCGCGTCGTCCTGCCTGCAGCAGCACACGCAGACCAGGTGAGCCGCGAGGAAGATGAGGTTCAGGCCCAGGCAGACGGCGGCCACCAGCCCCAGGAACAGCAGAGACTGAAGCGGGAGAGGCCTGGGGTCAGCACTTGGTCCCATGGGAGGGGGTTCGGGAAGTGCCCTGCCCTCGGGCCCCGAGCTCCCGCTGGGGATGTGGGTGTAGGAACCAGACGGAGCTGTCGTCCATTCTCCTCCTGCTATGACTGAAGCTCCTGCTCTGTACAGAGGCCTGGGCCCCCAGGGTGCGGGTGTGGGGAGAGATGGAGCTCAGGCTCAGGTGGGAGCTGAGGACACGAGACCAGTGGATGGGCTGCGGTCAGCTGAGGCGGAGGTGAGGGAGGAGCAGCTGGAGGCTGGCCCCCGGGTCTGCGGCCTCCACCCCTGGACGAAGACCTGGGCCCGAGGAGAGGCTCCGAGCTGCTCAAGAGACAAGACAGGAGCCGTCAACCGACAGTGAGGGCTGGGGCGATGAGCTGCGGGACTGAGGGAGACAGACGGGGAGAGGGACATCCAAGCGGAGCAGAGCATCCGAGACCCCCTGGAGGAGACGGGGCTTGAGCGGGACGTCTCGGAAGCTAAGTGGGACCTGGGACAGAGCCAGGAAGGGACAGCCTGGCGTATCTGCTTCCTCTGAGCCTCGTTCAAGGTGTTGGGGTCCATCCAGAGGAACAAGAAGCCAGCTCCATGCTGGGGGCGGGGGGAGAAGTCAGGACATGCACGTGCGGAGTCCCTTTCACCACATCCTGAAAGGGACAGCTGAGCCCCAGGTGCCAATGGTGGCAGAAAAGCCCAGAATTCTGAAGGGGGCAGGAGGTGCCGTCTCAGGCCCGCCGAGCACCTGGGGGTCCTGCAAAGGGAGCTGCTGTCTGCCAGGAGCCCAGAGCTCCCCCCCACGCCCTCCAATCTCTTGATTCAGCCAGATGGGCACCAGATGGCACCAGGATTGGTGGCTGCCAGCCAGGCCTGGACCTGGCTCTAAGGTTCCTGAGCTGACAGCCTCACCCTGTTTCCCACGTGCCCCCTCAGTGGTCCCCCTCCAGAACCCCCAGCGCTCCAGTCTGGGCTGTTGGGGCGAGAACCTGTTTCAGGGGACCCGTATGCTGGTGGTGGTGATCAGCAGAGTGGGGGAGATGCCAGGACCCTTCCAGTCTAAGGGGGAGACAGGCCTTGTGCAGGAACACACACACCAGGAGATGACCTTGAAAATCAGAGGCTGGGGTCTGCAGTCCTGAGGCCCGGGGCCACTTTGGGGGGGGCGGAGCCTCAGAGTGGCGAAGGCACCTGCTAGGTCTGCCCTGCCCCTGTGATGGCTCAGGCTGGCCTTCGGACCCCTAACTTGAACTGCTCTGCTGGTCCCCTGGGCCAACAAGATTCTGAGCCTCAGTGACAAATGGCTGAAGTGGTGGGGACAGCCCAGAAGATGGCAGGAGCGATGACTCATTTGGGAGTGGGGGGTGGATCTGACTTAAAGTGTGGCTCTCACCTCCAATGGGATAGACATGTCATAGGTACAGCCAGGAACCTGCCCCCCCCCACCGCCTCCCTCACTTGCAGCACGGATGATAAGCCCTCCTTCAGGCAGCTGGGAAGGCCCAGGGGACCTGAACACATCACGCCTGCTGAAGTCGTCACGGTGTGGCAGGGGCGGGGGCTCTCCGGCCTGGACCACTAGGCCCGTCCCACGGACTGACCCAGGAAGCCCCTGCCCTGTGAGACAGCGGAAAGGAGCTGCCACCTTCCCACCCCCAGCCCGTGCCCCCTCACTGGAGGGGCCTGTAGCCCCAGGCCAAGGTGAAGGAGGCCAAGGAGAGATGGGGGGTTTAGAGCCTTGCTACTCAAAGTGAAGTTCACCAACTCCCGACCCCGCGGGGCACTGACATCTGGGAGCTTGTCAGAAATGCAGACTCTCAGGCCCCACCTTAGACCTAGTGAATCAGAACTGCATCCAGAGACATCCCAGGCGACCTGTATCCCGTTCAAGTCCAGGAAGCCCTGGATTAGTGTCAGCAGAAGTTCTCAAACTTTTCCCAGCAGCTTAACCTTTTCTTCCAACAGACTCGCTTAGTGGAGCCCCGAGATACAGAGCTTTCTCTGATGGAGGAGTGGATGGAAATGCCATGCTTTGTCTTGGCCACACCCTGACAGGCCCCTGAGGCCCCTCTGCTAAAACCCAGGGATCCCTTTAACAATTTGCAAATCACTGTGCAACATGCATAGCCCGTGACCCGGCAACTGCACTCCTGGAGAATTCCCTTACAGAAAGGAGAGCTCGTGTCCCCACAAGATACACACACGAATGTTTACAGCACTTAATACAGCAGTGATTGCCACTGGAAATAACCCAAACGTCCACCAACAAGAGAATGGACACGTGAAATGCGTTATAGTCATAAAATGGAATACTATGCAGCTGTGAAAAGTAAACTATGGCTGCACACAGCAATATGGATGAATCTCACAGATGTAATATCGGAGGAAACAAGCCAGACACAAAACAGCAGAGCCTATATGGTTTAATTTATATACAGTGCAAAATCATAGAAATTCATCTGTAGTGATTGAGGTCCGAACAGTAGCCACCTTTGGGAGGGTATCGACTGAGAGGGAGAGGGAGCCTCCTGGGGGTCAGGAATATGCTTTGATGGGGATGGTGTCACACACACACACATATTAAGATGTGCAAAAGTTTCCTGTAAGTTATTCCTAATGAAAAAAAAAGGTAACAAAAACCCAGACAAATCTTTTGTATCAATTAGAGACTGGTTAATATCCAGACTTCTCCCAGTGACCCTTGACTTTTAGCTTGCCTTCCAGACAGTCCCACTCTCAGTCTATCCTCAGACAGGAAAACCCACTGACTTTACCTTGTGTCCCCACCCAGCAAGGAAGGGCCTCCAAGAAGTGGTCAAGGTGTGGGTTGGTGCCATTTCAATCCCCAGACCACAGCCCATCCCCACCCCCGCTTCGTCCCTGCGGCCGGCTCCCCTATTTCATGCTCTCACAGTCCCCGCCAGCCCCCTGGCCTCCCGCAAGCCCAGCCCCACGGCAGGGCCCCTGGGATTCAGCGGCCAGGGGCCTCTCTGAGCTGGGCAGCTGGCCTCAATTAGATAACGCAGCTCAGTCCCGGGAGGCCACGCCCAGGGAAACCCAAACGCGGGGTCCTTTGTTAGCACTTCACCTTGGAACAGGGAGGACAGGAACGGGGAGGACAGAGCTGGATAGGGGCAAAGCGGGTTGGGAAGAGGAAGGGAGGAAGGTAGGGGAGGAGGGGGGAGGGGAGGGGAGAAAAACAGGAAGGAGGAGTTGGAGGGAGGAGGGAGTGGAGGTCTGACCAGCAGAACCATCTCCCACAGCCACCCTGGCTGCCGCTGTCTAACAGGCAATCATTTTCCTGCTCCTAATTAACACTGCAAGTCCCCGTGGGCATGGGGTGGGGGGAGGGTGGAAGAGGGAGACTCTCCTTCCAGAGGGAACCAGGAGCTCTGCTCACACGCCCTCCTGCTCTGACAGATAGCCTAGAAAGGGTAAATTCCCACATCGCCCAGCGCCTCCTCCCACACCTCCCCCTGCCACGCAGCCACCACCATCACTGCCACCCCCTCCTGCCCCAACCCCATGCCTGCCCCAACCCCGCGCCCACAGCCCCACATCAGGGCTCAGGCTCCAGCCTCTCCTCATCAAAGTGACTTCTATTAGTTCTGGTTTGTCACTTTGTAACCCAAACACAGAGCACAACCCGGGACCCAAGCTGGGGACAGCAAAGACCGATGGGCATTCTGGGGATGCCGATGCTGCAGCTGGACCCAAGGTGCTTCTGCACTAGGTGGGGCAGAGGGCAAGAGCCTGAGTGCCCCTCACCCCAAGACCCCAGGAGACACTGGAGAGTGAGCCAGCCCAGGGGTGACGCCGGGGGAGGGGAGCTGGGGCAAGTGGCAGGAGTTGGGGGGGGAGCTGGAGCACGAAGGGGGAACACTTCCCGGGGTGGTGTGGGGTGGGGTGGGGAGCAGGGGGCAGCGTGACTGTCCGATGACCATGACTCAGTGTTCAGACTGGATGAATGGGGCTTCCTCATCCCAGCTTTGGCTCCCCTCAAATCTCGCTGGCTGGGCTCCCTGCCTGGCCCATCCTCCTAAGACCTACCCCCAAGTCAAAGGGAGGGGAGGCCGGGGTGGGGACAGGGGGAGAAGCCTTGTAGTTCTGGGTGCAGCCCCCACTCCGTCCCCTCTCTTGGCCTGAAGACACACTCTTGGGGATCTCTGGGGAGTCTGTGAACTGAACCACCCAAAGCTAACACACGAAAATGCATGCCTAAATAGAAAAAGTTAAAAACATCCTCTGCCTCCTCATGCATGTCCCAAAAGAATGGTTGATCCACTGAGGCAGGGAGAGGAGGGCGGGACAGAAGGCACACGCGCGGCTGCTGCATATTGGCAGCAACAACAATTACCATTTGCGGGCACTGGGAGCTCACTAAGACACTTCAAGTCCATTAGCGCATCAGGGTCAGGTCTCTCGAGAGGGGTTGGGTGGACGGTGACAGGGGCACCAACACCCGAGGTCAGAAGGAAACTGAAGCTTGTTCTGCGAGACACAGCTGGATCGGCACCAGGTGCCCTTTCTGCTGTCCCCAGCTCTGCCCAGTGGACCCCTGGCCAGCTGGGGTCTCCTCCTTCCCAAGCAGCGCTTCTGGCAATTGATGACGGGCCAGGCGGCACTGGCTGCATGCTTTATACCCACTCACTTCTCGGTCCTTTTGTTATCTCTCTGAAGTAGGAAGCGTCTCCATCTCCACTGCTTCTTGTCCATCGAAGGTGAGGAGACCTAGGCTGAGAGGTCTGGACTGCTGCCCCTCCACATACAGCCCCGACCGGCTCCCTCCTCACCCTGGGGCTCACCTCGTCTGCCTCTGCTGACCCGAGGGCGATCTCCCCAGGTGCCTGGTGGACGCAGGCCAGGCAGCCTGAGCAAGGACTCGGGGTCAAGTCCACGGAGCAGAGGGGTGGAAGGTTTCACCATCAGGGGCTTCTCCAGCTCCCCAAGACCCCAGAGAGGGAGTGGACCCTCTGCTTCCTCAGGGAAGTTCTGGGGACTGAATTTGTGCAGGACATTCCGGTTCACCAGGTGACCTGCCCTTCAGTCACCGGGCTTCTTCCCTTTGCCTTTCAAATCCCAAGTACAGCCCGTCCCCTCCCTTGAGCCTGCACCTGCCTGTTTCCATTTCCACTAGCCTTTGGTGTGTACACACACACACTGTACCACAAGCCGGCACTGTTCATTCCTGCCTGTGTTTTCCAGTTTTCCCTGATCAGTGTCTGTAGCTCACTTTCCTCTGTAGCCCCTGTGGGGTCCTGGACTTGCACATGACGCTGGACCCCAGGGCCAGTCTGCCTAAGGATTTGTGTCACTGGGTCCCACTATGTGCTGTGGGACCCTCTATGCACTAAGCATGTTACACGGAATAGCTCCTCCAGCACTTGCAGACGAGGGAAATGAGGCTCAGACAGGTACAGACACCTGCCACGGTCACATAGTATGTGATAAAGCTGGGATTCTAACCCAGACAGCTGGATGGCAGAGCCCCAACCCCAGCTACTCAGCTGCTGTAGTGCCCAGCCCACAGACCCTGGCTGTCTTGGTCAACAAGTCACTCCACGTCTGGCACAGCGCTTGTTCCCGAGTCAAGTTTGCTGAATATGACTGACAGCAGAAGGTACCCAATCCATGGTGTTAAGTGATCTGCTGCCTGACTCTGGCACCCACTCAAGAGGGAAGGGGATGTCCAGGAGAGACCCATGGTCAGACAACAGGGGAACTTACCAAAATAGGAGCCGCCGTAAATAACACCCAGAGCCAGACTTCCCGTCCAGGCCCACTACACTCATCTCCCATTCGGGGCCCTCAGGAGCCTAAGCGGGACAAGGAGGGTGGGGTGGGCCCGGTGTCGGGCTGCCCAGGAGCAGTGGCCCACGGGAAGGGCATGCCCTCGGAGTCACTGGATGCCCAGCACAGTGTGCCAGGGTTCGAACCCTGGGAGGAGAGGGCCAGGGACTGTGAGTGGGTCCCTCTGGCTCAGCTGCCACCTCTCCACGGGGCTGAGGGGGGTGGGGCAGGCTCAGACCCTGCCAGCCACAGCTGCTGGCCAGACAGGTGCTGTCTCTGGGGGCCAGCGGGGTGGGGGAGTGCCCTACCACCCCTGCCCCCACCCGGAAGTCTCCTGACCCAGCCTGGACTTGAGATTTCCTGCAGCGGAGAGGAGAAAACTATGGCTAGAGACTCCGGGGGCAGGATCTGGGGCGCAGGTTCAACACACACACGTGCAACAACACAGCTGTCTCTGCAGTCATATCCGCCCTCCTCTTTTCATGCATTCACTGGGAGCGGAAGAGCCCCTCGAGCTATCCCCAGGCAGCCACATTCTCAGGGAACACCGACTTCCACAGGCAGGGAGGCAGGGCTGGGGGAGGGAGGGGCAAACCAGCCCAGTTGCGTCCTCCATCCCGGCCAGCGTGTTCCCGCCCGCCAGCAGGACAGGGTCCTGATTCTCCCCTCCCTTGGGGAGGGCAGCCACCATCTGCCTGAGGCCTGAGGGCGACAGGGACACTAGGGGTTATTATTAATTCCCAGTCACCGGTGCATTGCACACTCTCCAGGATCAGGATACTCCTGGCCCCGCAGGAGAAAGGCCTGGCGGGGGAAGAGGGGAACAGCTGACTCCCAGCTCAGTCTCCCGAGAGGCTGCACTCCGCCCCAGACTGGCCCCACACCGGGAGATCCTGCAGAGAACCTGACACTGTAGGCAGAGGCTGCCAGGGGTCAAAGTCCAGAGATGGGCATATAGCTCTGAACAAATGGGCCCGGCCTGGGCTTTCCAGCCCCTGAAGCTTTGATCCAACAGGGAACTGACCCAGCCAGACCACAGGGGCTGGAGCAGCTTGGCCAGACCTGAGAAGGCTGGGAGATTTTGCAGCCCGGTCTGGGCAAGGAGGCTGGGGAACCCCCACCACCACCACCAGGATGGTGTGCAGAAACCACAGAGGGAAGGGCCAGCAGGGCAGGGAAAGGGCAGAGTTGCAGGACGGGAGTGGCTGGCCAAGAAGCCAAGACCCTGGAAATCCAGGGCCTAGAAGGTGCGTATGTACTTGGAGCAGGGTGACGCTGGTGTGAGATGGGGCTTATCTGGGGCCACCTTCTTTCCCCCAAACATCCACATGTGGCTGTGGGTTCTCAGCGCTCCAGAGGGAAGTCGCCCCCTGCCGCTGCCCCTAGTCCTGCAGCCTTCTAGCAGAGGCCCAGGCAGAAATGTTGGCAGCGGCTCCCACCCTGCAGGCGGGGGCTGGGGAGGAAGGGTGCTGTCGAGACGAACTTGGGAGACTCTGGTCAGTTTCTGCCCAAACTTCTCCGAGGCCACCCAGCCCCGTAAAGAGAGCGCCCGTCTTGGAACCGCAGAAGGAGGAAAGCCCCCGGAGCGCCCCTCGGCGTCCCCACAGCTCGAGCGCCGGAATTACCCGGGTACGGGCACAAATGGCCCCCATCCCGCCCCGCGCTGCCCTCCCCCTCGACGCTCAGCCCCCGCCCCCCGCCTTCCTCCCCTTCCCCATCGGCGGCTCAACTCCCATCTTTCGAAGTTTCCCCGGCCCATGAGGTTCCCAGATGCGAGGGCTGTGGGCGAAGGGTCCCGGGAGAAAAAGGGAAGAGGGGAAGGGAAGGGGCTGTGGAGGAGAGTGGGAGGGGTCTGAGAGGGGGACGGGAGAAGGAGTGGCGCGGGGACTGGGGGCGCCGGCCGTGGCCCGGGAATAGGTCGGCGCAGACTCACCTCCTGGTAACTCGCATCGCGGGGGTTGAAGGTGCTGTTCACCGGCTGCAGGCGCAGGCCGACGTGCGGGACGCTGTGCAGCCACGCCACCCACCAGGGCGCGATGTACTCCATGCGCGCGGCTGGCATGGCTCGGCCCGAGCCCGCCCGCCCGCCCGCCGCGGCCTTAGCTGCCGCCGCCACCCG